AAATAAATAAATAAATAAATAAATTGAATACCTGTCACTAAAAATCTTTGGACTTGATTTTCGGGATGTTTCGTGGTAGTTTCTTGAAGACGGACATTATTTATGCATTTCAGCGTGCTGGGCTTGGCAAAAGAGTAGTTGCGAAACATATCGGAAAACTTCTTGTTCATTCCAAGGGTGTTTGAAGTGCTACCATATCTTGCGTTCTACTGACTTTACACACGAACGCGCATTTACTAACATCAATTCGAAAAAAAATTTTGAAGGCAGTTCTAAACAGTACCTAAATTGAGTCTAAATTCGCTCTCTGTTGAACACTTCTGTGTCAAAATATAAAGGCCGCAGAGCGATGAGAAGAAGGAGATACATTGTCAGCGCTCCGGTAGAGATCTAACATCCCGTCCCGAGGCTCACCTTCCATAATAATGCACGACTCCAATTCTAGAAGTTGAACTTAGATAGTGGATCGGTAAAGGGAGGTCTTCGTCACGGTGGCGCCATATGCCTTCATAGTCTGATAAAAATTGTTTTTTTCTGCATGGATAAGGGTAATATGGCCGGTTTCAACGGAAACAAGCGTCTCCGAAAGTTATAAAAGGCAGGCAGTTTGATTTAGCGCTCGTGATTCCGATGAACGAAGTGTGAAAGTCTGGGTTGCTTTGAAAAAATGAAGTGAGCCATAAGGCACTAATGGAATAAACAAAAAGCTAACAGAACTGGATATGTCGCAGGACTGCTATCAATCTTTTGTAATAGGATTATTGTGATAATACCCCGCGTTTATATAAACGCCTACTGAGCACATTTCCGGTCACTCCACATAATCCTGACGTTGCAGCTGGATGGCGGTAAAGGGAGGAGAGGATGGAGAGGGAAGGCGGAAAATCATGCAGAGAGGTGTTGATAGGTCATTATTCCACCATGTCATAATTATGACGATGCCCTCTATATATGAATTTTTGTTGCATACGCGTCACTTACGCGAGATCTTGGTGTTACAAGTGCTAGGGACCACAGCTGAAGTAGTGATGCCTACGCGGGGAAGGTTCCGTTGGTCGACGGGGACTAGCATAGTAAGTCTAACATGTGGAGCTTTTCCCATGCCTGCGGCGTCGTCTAAACTAAGTCCTCTCACAAGAAAAACTGCCTTCTATTCTGAGTCCCTCTGCGAGAGATTCTCAAAACTAAGCGCTCAGCAGTGATCTGACTGCAGTTCGGATGCCCATCCAATGAAGGGCGTCTGGGCGTCATTGCCAAAGAGGGTTATGCGAGTAACAGTCACTTACAAAGTACTGAGGACAAAGTACAAAGTAGAAATTCTGAAACAGGGGGTCATTGAAGCTCAGAAGAAAATCGATCAAAAAGCGCTTTAAAAAGGTAGAGTCATGGATTTTCAACTCTCACATGGGTCATGACACAACTGAAGTGTTTTGTTGTTTTTTGTTCATTGTTTTGCTCAAGGTAAGCTTTCAATTATGAAACAGTACGAAAACGACAAACTATTACAAAAAAGTTTAGAAAAATGGTGCTGCTGCCAAATCTGGATAATATTCGTGGGGAATCCGTTGGTCACCTGTATAACCTGTCGCCCCGTTGAACGTCAATTTTCTCGAGCGGGCTCCAGCAACGTCTCCGTTCGTCCCCGTCGCATGCAAGATATTGAGCGCGCTGGATAACGTCGACGGCATGCTCATCCTGCCTGTGTAGAGTCCAAGTCTCTAATGCATGGTCAGGCAGAAAAGACTGCGGAATCGAAGAGTTGGTCACGGAGCCAGTGATCATACCCTTCCTCGCTACTCCGTCGATGTTCTTGAACGCTCCGCACACCGCTCGTTTTTCCTGCTCGGCCCTGCAGCTAGCTCATCCATCATGTTGATTTCCCGTACACATTTCTGGAGTGTTCGGTGATGTTTTTTTCCGTTGAGCATGAATGGGGCATCAGGAAGCAATCCACTTCGCACAAGCCTTCGATAGGTTTAGCTGCACCGACCCTACCACAGGCGCAGTCGAAATCAGCCAGCGTTCGCTCTGCTTACTCGGTATTCAGCGTTACAGGAGCGACATCATCAGCAAACTGAAGGTGGTGTAGCTGTCGGCCGTTGACCTTCGTTCCCTTATCATGCCTTTCCGCGACTTGAAAGCGGCGGTGAAGAGCTTGGGGGAGATTGTGTCGCCCTGTCGAACCCCTGTCTTCATCGCTGATAAGCTCCTGGTGAGACTCTGGTCATAAAATTGCTGTAGAGCTCTCGAAGATTCCTTGTGTACTGAGTAGTAACGCCCTGGTTGCGCAAGGCTTTGATGACCGCTCTGTCTCCACTGGGTCGATTCTTAAAGTCGATCAACGTATGACAAAGCTGCTCCTTGTACTCTCGCGACACTTCAATGAGTCTCGTAAGCGTGGACATGGTCGATCGTGCTGAACCCTCCTTGAGACCCTGCTTGGCATGGCTATCCTTCATACAGTATTCTGCCAATCCTGTTGCGGATGACTTGAGCAAATAGTATATAGGTTACAGACAGCAGGCAGATTGGGCGATGATTGCTAATGACGTCCAAGCCTTCCTTCTTGTACAGCAACACAGTTCTGCTGGTTCTTGACGTAGCGGATACCTTGCATTCCGGCAGGTGACGCTCGAAAAGTCGACCCAGAGTTTTGATGTAACGACACATTCTTCAGATGTTCCGGTTTGACCCTGTCGAAACCTGGTTCTGTGCGGTTCTTCACCGACTTGATGGCGTGTCGGAAGAGAGAACTGAAAAACGGCGTATCCATCTTCTGGTAGATGATAAGTACGCAGATGGACATGGCTGTCGAACAGATCTGAGTAAAAGACGTGGATAATATCCTCCGCTGCCCTTCGGGATGAAGTAACAGTTCCATCCAGACAGGGAAACAGGTTTTCTTGGTCTTGTGGCTGGCAAAGCTTTGGCGGACATTGCGAATGCTCCTATCAGCCACTGCTGCTTCAGCTGATACTGCTGCTCTTCGCTCCTTGAGATCTTCTTTTATCGCCTCTCTGCAGAGCTTCGCAAGCTCAACCGTGAGTTGATGATTGCCTGCAGCACGTGCGGCTCCACGCTGACGTACACTGCGACGCATAATCTTAGTCACCCATGAATCTTCCGAAAACTCACCTTACAAGATGCTTCGAAAAAGTCGTAAGGAAGAAAAGTTATTAAGGACAAATGTGCGTCTGCACATCAGCACCAAATTTGAATACCAGAACGCAGTATATTTTTTTGCTCATTTTCAAGAAAAAGTTGCTCTGCCAATGCAGCATAATCTTAGTTCCACTGCACGTTTTTTCGCCGTAATTAAAGTTTGCCCAATGAAACTGCTCTGATGATAACATTTCCTCCTCTTTAGGTCATGTCAAAAGGATTTCCGCTTTCAAACGCTGAAAAAGGCGTTATTATCGAAAAAAGGCTTAAAGGACTGTCAAATCGTGAAATTGCTCGACAACTGGGTCGAAGCCACCATGTCGTCAACAATTTCCTCGAAGATCCGGCAGGATATGGTACAACAAAGAGCCTAGGACGTCCTTCTCTCCTTTCGGACCGAGATAAGCGAAGCATTTCAAGAGAATGTTCGAATGCCAATAAGACATGTCGGGAAATCAAATCTTCTCTGAAACTTAACGTCTCGAAGGATACCATTCAGCGTGTGATATTGAAGTCAAAGATCATACAAAGACGGAAGATGAGAAAGGCGCCATCAATGACAGAAAAACACCGCGCAAACCGAGTTGAATTCGCGAGAAGATGCAGGGGGACCGAATGGAATAAGGTGCCCGCTACTACCTCGTGCTTGCCTTCGTTTATTTGAATTTTCTTTCTTTTAGGTGGTGTTCAGCGACGAGAAAAAATTCAGCTGTGATGGCCCGGATGGGAATCGGTATTACTGGCACGATATAAGAAAAGAGAAGCTTTGTTCCTCAAGACGAAACTTTAGAGGAGGCGGCATCATGGTCTGGGGTGCCATCGCATCAACGGGCCGTCTGAAACTCTGCTTCGTCCCTAACAAGGGAAGGATACCAAGTCGAAGTGGCCGTTCGTTATGAAATCTATACTCAGAGATGTATTTTCGGACGCTGATCTCAAATCCGCTCTCCAAATCTGCGAAACGATTCTCTGAAAAAAGTTACGGGGGTTGTTTCAAATGAATGTTCATTGCATGTGGCGCCTTCAAGGGAGTGCTATCGGCAATGTCCTGGCAGAGTGGTAGTGGTGGCGCCTCATGATGCTGAGACCATGGTTCGGTTCTTGGTGAAGTACAAAGTTTTGCTTTTATCAATTATGCCTGTTTTCAGCCCAAAAGAACCTTTAGTGTGGAAATTAACACAATGTACAACGCAGTTACGTGTGAGGGCCCACTAGAACATATTCAGTGTAAGGACACTATTGATTTGATAGTGGTATCTCTACCGTTTATGGTACTTATAGTTCTCACCGGATGACGTCATGTCTGGTGAAGTGGCATCTCGGCACCTGTAGAACAATTGATCGAAAACTTCGTAAAGAAGGCGATTTATGCTTGAAGTGAGCCCCAAACAAGTGACTGCGTTGAACATTGTGTTAATTTCCACACTAAAGGTTCTCTTGGGCTGAAAACAGGCATAATTGATAAAAGCAAAAGTTTGGACTTCACCAAGAACTGACCCATAGTCTCAACAGCATGAGGCGCCACCACTACCACTCGGCCAGGAGGCCGCCGGCAGTTGAAGGCGCCTCTTGTGATGAACATTCATTTGAAACAACCCCCGTAACTTTTTGAATCGTTTCGCAGATTTGGAGAGCGGATTTGAGATCAGCGTCCGAAAATACATCTCTGCGTATAGGTTTCATTACGGATGGACACTTCGACTTGGTATCCTTCCCTTGTAAGAAGATGAATTCGTCCGACTACAGGGAGGTCATGCGCCGATGTCTTCTTCCTTTTTGGCGTCGGAACCAGAACCAAAATCTTGTTTTTATGCAAGACAACGCTCCGTTTTACGTCAGTAAAAGGTCTCGGGAGTGGTTTGATCGCCATCGAATCACTCTCCTTCCTTGGCCAGGAAACAGTCCCGACTTAAACCCCATGGAGAATGTGTGGGGATACATGGTTCGGAAGATGTACGCCAGAAACGCCCAATTTCGAGATGTCACAGAGCTTAAAAGAGCAATTGTTGAGGCTTGGCACCAAGTCAATGAAAATCTTATTCACATTTATTCGAGTATGAACAACCGCGTCTTTCAACTCATTCGAAGAAATGGATCTAACTTAGATTATTAAACTTTCCTGTGTTTTCCTGTTTTTGCTGAATAATTAAATTTGCTAAGTGGAACTAAGATTTTGCTGCACCGTCAGAGCGCTTTTCTTCAAAAAAAAAGTTTGGAACAATTCTTCGTATTCTCAACTAGAAGTTCTGTGTTGTTATCCGAATTTGTACTTACATTCAAAACAATAAATCGTTGGAGACTTTTCGGAAACATGTCAGGGTACGAGCTTTTCCGAAATTCAAGGGTGGAACTAAGATTATGCGGCAGTGTATGAGCTCGAGTTTCTAGAAAGAGGCGTTCTCTGGTGACTTTTAACCTGTGCCTTCCCGCCACTATCGTGAAATTGCTCAACGAGCCAATGGTATTCCTCGTCGATGTTCTCGATGACGGAACAATCCATGAGCTGGCTAGGGAGGTGAAGTGGTCCCAGTTGACGATTGTTCTGGAGCTTCGTTTCCTGAAGTGCGAGGCTATCTCAACACACATCGAAAATTAGATTTTAGTGCGGAGGAGACGAGGGTCCGATCCCGTGTAGATTTTTGGAACAACACCGACATCGGTTAGGCAAAACCTTGACTGAAAATGATGTGGTCTGTCATGCTATGGAAGTGTCCATCAGGTAACCCCCAAGTCCAACGAATGTGGGAAGCCTTCTGGAACTGTGAGCAACCATCGACACTATTGGTCGGCATGACGAAATCAGAAAGTCTTTCGCCCTGCTCACTCCAATCCATTCCGTGAGTACCAATATAAAGTTCTTCAACCGTCCTTGGGCCAATCTTGGCGTTCAATTCGCCGACGGTGACCTCAAAGAAGGTATGATCTTCCCTGTAGAACTTCTCCAATTCCACATAGAATGCTCCGTGTTCGTCCTTGTCGTAGCTGGATGTTGCGCAGGCGACGAAGATTGCCAAAGCAGGAATTGAACCGCATCTTCTCGATCTCGAACGTCCGGCCGTTGAACTTCCGCACAAATCGATGTTTATAGAAAAGAGCGTGTTGACGAGGACACCCACACCGCCAGCGCATCAATTGCAGATGTCCCTCGTTCAACAAGATGTGTACACTCCAGTGGGTTCTTTCGATCGATAATGTCTGTGCTATGCTGAAGTGTGTTGTTTCGAAAATAAAGGTTAGAAACTGACATTGATTTCTGGACAATTTGACCAATCCAAGTACACAATCGGAATCATTGTTCCATTTCCTTAACTTGGGTGTAAACTTTGGAACTGGTACACTCTCATTCGAATCATTATGTTGGTTCCATGTTCTGCGGTTTCCCTTCATCCCTTACCTCCTGCAAAAAGTCGTCACTGTTCCCGTTTTTCATGGCAGCTCAAAGTGCATCTACGAGTGGGATAATTTTGAGCGGAGCGCACCCTAGGAACCTTTCTAGACATGCGATTTCTTGGCAGCTTCGTGGACTTGTAGTAATCGTAAGCACTTTCAGCCGATGTTCCACAGGTGAATCCGTCAGTGATGATACTCATGTAGCCAGTTTCACTCTCGTCATGTGAGCAGTGAAGCGACCGTAAAGCGCATACTCACTAGGGAAGGATACCAGGTAGAAGTGGCCATCGCTCTCCTCTAATGTGTCACCCAAACCTTCGGAGCAATTTCCTGAACGAAATTATGAAGCGAAATAGGGCAGTGGCCCGGGCTAATGGGCAAGAGGTCATAAGATCGACTTCTTGCCACTGTTTCTTGCCATCAGCGATTCTTACAAGTGCAATGAACTAGCGGGCAGCCTCCAACACTGTTTCCGCTATTTCTATAAGACCACTCCTGGTGCTCGTAGCGCACGCGTCAGGCATTCAGGTACCAAACGGAGGTGATATTTATGTTCAGGGCTTCAAAATACCGTTTTCTTCGTCTTTGGCTTGACCCTAGCTTTCGATCCAAAACTATTTTCTAGCTTATCGTAGAAAATGTGGGCAGTCATATCTGTTCTTCAACCCAGTGATAGAGTCTAGTCCATGAGATAGAATTAGAATTCCAATGATACTTGTGAAGAAATATACTTGTCTGACTTAATTGCTAGTGTTATCGGATGATTTGGTGTTTTTTTGAGTACACGTTCGCTGTCGTCTATGGAGGAACAGCACTAACTTAGCGGCAGGGGACAGCACCAACGATTGATTGTCGACCTTATCAAAATTGTGCCTAAATGTCACTTTCCAGTAATTAGCCTTCATAGATAGTTTGATACGCTGAACGAACGTATCAAAAAATTTATTCTGATTTCGGTACGACGCTACCTTCTATCATGTAGAAAATCACGACTCTTGTAGAACAACTGTTCTGAAACATTATGACGAAAATGTTGATGCATTAAGCAAATCCTCTAAAGATTCAAAAGCAGTTTGTTCATTACATTGTGGGTTTCAGCACTAATTTTTTTCACACTGAAAATAAACATAATCATAAAGAGCAAAAGCCTTTTCTGCAGTTAGATTTCAGCCATGGTCTCACCAACGTGAGCGGCCAGCACTACACTTTGGCCAATGCGCTTCTTGGCAATATCTGTCAGTGTCTTCTATAGTGAACTTTCATTTCAGCAACCTCCGCAGTTGTTTAGAGAAACATCTCTCAAATCTGGGGGTGGTTCCAGGAACAGTATTCGAAAATATATCTGCATGTTTAGAGCTCATTGCGAATGGCCAATTTGACCAGGTGTCCTTCCTTTATTAGTTCATTACAAAGATGCATTAACACGTTGACGCATCGCGCGTTTTGCGCTTTTGCACCGCGTGGGACAAGACCAATCTTGCGAGCGCAGCCGCCGCACACCAAATCCATGGATCTTGAGCTGCAAATAAGGAATGCTCGAATGGAGTGGAGCGTTTTCAATAATGTTCGATCTGTCTAAGTTTTCGGGAGTTATAGAAATGAAAGCTCGATGGAAATGACGTATTAAAGGACGAATTCACGATCAGAGGGAAAATCGAATTAGGAAGAATTCACCTGGTTGAGGGACCCGCGGAGCTCCTAAGTGTGCGAACTGAAGCACAATTTGCACAGGAGGAATTGACCTCGTTGACCTATTAAGGTTTGATCCCGCCGCGGCTGGTCAGTGCACGCCCACCGATCATCTGATCACTCGCCGCAGGTATATACGTGGTGAATGATTAGATAGGTGAGAGAGCGTAGCGTTGAAGAGGGCACAGCGATGATAGTAGCATCAATGCTCAAATCAACGGGCAATGAAGGGGTACCTTTTCTCGGGTTCTGAGCCGTTTCTCATAGTATTTCCTTCTTTGGTGTACCACTCACCATCGCTAAGGTAATTTGAACTGGGTTGCCTTCCCAGCGTGAATTCGTCCTTTAAGGCCATGAAAAGCAAATTACTTACTTCCCTTTAGTGGTTCCAAAATTAACTTGGACGTGGTTGTTTCAGTAGAAGCTCATATTTTAGCATATCAATAGGAATGCATTTACTTCCATTATTCTTTTTATCCACATCTTGACTGTAATGAAAAGAAAACGAGGAATGAACCTAACGGATATTTCTGCAAGGTCCGGAAATCCTCTGCCAAACCAAAGAATATTTGGTCTTTCTGTGAGCTATGTGGTTTAAAAGTGTGCTAATGTATGGCGTATAGAAAGAGTACAAGGACTTCAGGGATAAGTCGCACAAGCGCAAGAAAGAGGGATGACTTGGGTGGGACGCGTTACTGCGTCACAATGTCCCACGAGGTGTGCAAAGTGGAAAGCGTTGCCGCGTCACGCTATCGTCAACGTGTTAATATTAAAATAAAGAGTGGCTTGTCATACCAAATGTGCAGATAATAGGAAGCCTTGCAATGGCAGACATGTCTCGATATCCGCCTGCTGCCATGACGGCCGTGATTCGTGGGGTGTCAGCGCACATATTCATTGGGTAAGAGCCTTCCCAGTGCTCCGCCTTTATTGCCTGAAAGGTTGTAGTGAGAAATGGTTCCCATTCACATATTAGCGAATTTTACAAATATTGAAAAGTGAACAGAAAGCAGTGTAACCAGAAAGCGGCTGTGCTAGCTTACGCAGTCTTTCCTGAAATCACCGAATAGCAAAAACTGTTAAGTGTAACTAGGTCCTGGTCCGCATTTCAATTCTTATTTTGAGTGACCGCTGCGTTTCAGTTACAGCTGCCCTTGCTAGTGTAAATAAGGCAGGATAGAGGCATTCACTAGGATACCTCGCTTAAGGAAGGGTGCACCTCTGAAACCGGGAGTTCGATCCCTGCCGAGGTTGACCATGCCTTGCAAAAATTGCAAAAATGGTTTCAGTACCAGCGTTAGGCCCAGTTTGACAGGCCGGCCGATGGAGACCCCCGTCACACCAACCATGTTCAAAAGTCGCAAAAGAATCAGTGTTAATGCTGGGACGTCACCGGGAAGTTTTCCCGCAGAACCACCGCCCGAGTTCTGTGGTCATTATGCGAGGGCTACCAAGGGAACGGTCTCACCCAAAGAAGCTAGCTCGAAAAGGTACTCTAGACGTAGGATCACTAACTGGAAAGTCCCGAGAGGTTGCTGATCTGACGACGCGCAGGAATATCCAAGTCCTATGCCTTCAGAAACGCGATGGAAAGGTGCTAAGGATAGGAAAATTGGGGAAGGTGTCAAACTTCACTACAATGGGGGAAGATACCAAGTAGAACGATGTGGCCATAGCGATGGCTGGGTCGCGCAAGGATACGAAGGAGGAGTACTGGTCCATACTCTCGGTGTACGCACCGCAAGCCGCATACTCCGAAAGTGACAAGGACGGTTCTATCTCAGCCTCGACGATGCCATCAGAATGATTCCGGAAGGTGACTACCTCTACCAGGTGACCTGCATGGTCACGTAGGTAGTGAAAGAAGAGGCCGGAAAGGGTGCACGGCGGTAGAATAGGATTGAAGAACGCCGAGGGAGAGAGGGTCCTAGACCTGGCTACGGCTACGATCGGGCTATATCAGCGCAAGAAGGGAGACTCAGAAAGAAAAGTACGGCAGTGGAGGAAAGAAAACGGAAATCATTCGTGCTG